AGAATGAAGGGCCTGTATTACACTAGAATTGTAGGATTCAAATTCACTAGCAAAGCATCCAAAATAACTTCAAGATGATGGAAGTGAAAAATCCTAATTCTAAAAATAAATAGAAATCAATTATATAAAGAAACAATTATATTAAAAAATTTAAGAACAGATAAAAAAAAGATTTTACTACAATATTTACAGTATTTACATTAGTCGGACTATTGTCCTCATCTTTGTCGCCATATTTGTCACAAAGTTTCGACCGTTGTACGCTCTGGCCTTCCTTCTTCAGGTGGTTTTACTACAAATCTTTTACTTTTTAAAACAAAATTCATAAACATTACAAAGTTTTTAATATTTTAGATAATAATTTTTCAAAATTGCACAATTTTTCTTTTTTTTTTTAGTTTTTGTCATGTTTTGCACTATTTTATACACAAATACCTTTGGGAAAGGTATGAATCCACCACTTTTTCCCCAGTCAGTTATGGGTTAAATAGCAGAACAGACTGGGCCTTATTATCTTGGTTGGCAACCAGTCTACTGCAGAAAGAAATAGCCACCAACAGTCAGTCATAAATTGAAAGAGACATAATCACTCAAGCATTTATCACATATATAGCACTTAACTGTTTTGCATTATTTTATCTAATTTGCACTTATTACATATCTGTGTTCAATGAAGTGTAAAATCGAGTAGACAAAATTATGCAAAACTAAAAAAGCTGCATCAAAAACCAATATATACAAAAAAGATGTATCAAATTTTAAATGGTTCCTTCTCAAGGGTCCCCTATCAAATTTAAAAGACCCATTCCAACTAGAGGGGCTTAAATACTATAAATTGTTTCAAATTCATTCAAAGGAAACTCCATTAAATCTGACAATAAAAAAATCTCCTCTGTTCTTATATTTTTTTTTAGTTTTATCAGAGGCCCAAGATTGGCATCAATGCATTGCAGCCCATACAAGTCTATATATAAATCCGGCACTGCTGATGAGGATATTAGTCTAACTGTAAATAATATAAGTGCAAGGTATCAGAACAAATACAACCACTTCCAAGAATGACAAATTGCAAGAAGAAAGCAAATGCAGGATGTGTAGACAAGCTGATAACGCAGTTAATGATATATTCAGGGTATGTTCTAAGTTTGCTCAAAAAGAGATGACATCGCTGGAATCCATTTGGAAGCATGTATATTTGACATCAGTGTAAATGGCAAATGATATGAATATCAGCCAGAAGTCGTGATAGTGAATGAGATCCATAATATAATGGGATTTCTTGATCCAGGCAGATCATGCCAATGAAGCACCAAGACCTGACTTTATTGTTATAGATAATAAAAGTAACAAGTGTCAAATTATTGATTTTACTGTTCTAAAGAAACTGATATTATGAAAAACACCAGAATTGTCTTCAAACCCCTAACCCAATTCTGTTCCGTAACATCTTCAACTCTCAACCAGATCATAGCATTTTCCCTAAGCATGATTTCAACTTCTAGGTGGTGTTCCAAGTTCACCCACTACTGCAGTATGAAACATGACAGTTCCTGCAGTAGTGGGTGAACTTGGAACACCACCTAGGAAGTTGAAATCATGCTTAGGGAAAATGCTACGATCTGGTTGGGAGTTGAAGATGTTACGGAACATGACTGTTGAGGTAATTCCTGTAGTAATGGATGCCCTTGGAACACCACCTAGAAACTTGAAAGAGCCTTACTCTAGGCTTCTGTCAAGCTATGATAAACTTACTAAATTTTAAAGTATTTATGATAGCATGTAGGCCAACTGGTGTATGTTACAAGTTTGATAATTTTTGTGCAAAAAAAATAACTAAAATTGAAAAAAGTCTTTAGCTTTATAATTAATGAAAAGAATACTAAACAAAAATTAATAATAATAATAATGGTAGAAAATGAGAATATTATGGGATATTATGGGATTTCTCAGTCCAGACAGATCATGTGATTGAAGCCTATTTCCAACACAGGAGCAAGGTCATCAGAACAAATAAAATCAAGGCCAGTATAGAAAAATCCCCAAAAGAAAGCAAATGTAGGATGTGTAGGCAATTAACCAGTACCCAGTGAATGTTCCAAGTTGGAACTGGAAGAGTATAAGTGACAATATGATTGGATTATTTTTTTAACTATTTCATCCAAGGCAAGGTGGGAATGCAACTAGTATGTAGGCGGTTACAGGGAATGAACGTGAAAGAGAAGACTGAGAATAGGGAGGATTGAAGAAAGGATAAAAGCTGAATGAGGTTCAAGGAGAATTTTTGAAGAATGTAGTTATCCAAAAAGCAAGTAAACGGAAGGGAGTTCCACAGGTGTGAAGTGCAAGAAAAGAAACTGTTGGAGTAGAAAAAGCTGTTGAATTTAAATATTTCAACAGTAAAAGGGTGGGACCTATATGCCAATCTAGTAGGACACTTAAATTCATGTAAACAGAGCACCAGGGAAAAAAGCTCGTCCAAGCCATTGCTATGAAAATATTTGTAGAAAAGAGAGAATCCATATCTCATTGGTGAGAAAGTGACAAGTCGAAATTCTTGGTCAGGATTGATTACATTGTGGATCCTTCTTTGGATGTTGTCAAGAATCTAGAGATGTATAACAGGAGTACCAGACCAGATATGGCAACAGTATTCAATGCCTGGATGAATGGTAGATTTGCAAATGTACAAGATGGACTCTGATGAGAAAAATCTTCTGGCACAATACAGTGACCCAGTTTCCTAGCAGTAGATGCAGCTATTGATTTGATATAGTCACTCCACCTGACATCAGTTGAAAATGTGAGGCCAAGAAGGCTCTGTGTGTTGCTCTCCAGGAGTCTAGCATCAGCCATGCTGATGGCAGGCAGAAAAGGTGGTGGTTAAATGAAAACAATTTCATTTTGGAGGCATTAAAACTTACAAGCCATTTCTTGCCCCAGTTAACCACTGACTTGAGGTCATCTCAGGAGCAGGCTTACTTTGTCAGATTTGATGGATTTGCTATTGAGACAGAAGTGAATGCTAGCAGTAGAATGGTAATATATAAATATCAGCCAGAAGCATTGGTAGAAAATGACAGACAGAAGATATTATGGGATTTCTCTGCTCAAATGGACTTTTTTTTTTAAATAGTTTTCCTTCTAAGCAAGGGGATGATGTCACTAGGATGCTGGGAATTGCAAGGAGTGAAAGAGAAAGAGAAGACTTTATTGAGTTTAAATGAGGAGAAGCATAATAAAGAAACAGTATTCAGGAAGAGAGAAGATAGCAATTGACATTGTGTTTAAATTTTTGAAGATTATAGGTGGTAGGTAAGAAATAGGGAGGGAGTTCCACAGCTGAGAAGTGCGAGAAAAGAAACTGTTAGACTAGAAATAGTGGTTGCATACCAAGTCGCCAATCTAGCAGTTTGTTTAAATTCATGTCAAGGCACTAGGAAAAATATCTCAGCAAAACAAAATGAAAATATTTGTAGGAAAGACAAAGTTTTTTATTCAATTTTTCAATATCTGCCTATATTTCTGAGATGAGGTATTATGTACACTATTTACATTATTCGGACTATTGTCCTCATCTTTGTTGCCATATTTATTACAATGTTTCGGCCTTTCAGTATCTGTCTATATTTCTGAGATGAGGTATTATGTACACTATTTACATTATTCGGACTATTGTCCTCATCTTTGTCGCCATATTTATTACAACGTTTTGGCTGTTGTATGTTCTGGCCTTCTTCATTGGAATGTCAAAATGAACCCTTTATTTCACTCACTGGGGTAGACTGTTCTAGTTGCACATGCCATGTTTAATGGATGTCAATTATCAGTTATCTGTTAATTCTCCTCTCCAAGTTCTCCACCATCTTAACCAGGTATTGAACTCACATTATTTGGGTCCTGTCACTGGATCTAACTAACACCTTTATCCACTGTATGAATTTCTGTGTATTATATACCTCATGTCTTCAGCAACCATTTTTTACCAGTGCTCATATTGCAATTTTTGTTGTTATTATCACTTTTCTCTGGAAAATTCGTAAACTTAAGGAATCAGCACATATGCTAGGCCACCAAAATCTCCTGAGCCGACCAAGCATAGAAATGAATACAATATAGGAACCAGTAATAAGGAGTGCCAGAGAATTAATTAATTTTCCAAATTTGTGAATTAGATGTTTTGTCTTATCGATACATTTATTTTTAGAATTGGATTTTAGAGCACATTTTTTTTTTGCTTATTTAAATTAGTTCCATCAAATGTTAGAATGCAGGAATTAAAAAACAGTTGCAGATATATATACAGAACAATCATTGAAAACAAATGTACCAACATTCGACAATACCTGGGAAGTAAATAATATAAAACAAAAATAAATATGAATTTTAGCACAAAACAACTAATTAGAAATTTCAAAAAGTATTTTTTTTTTAAGCATTTCACCCCTAGCAAGGTGGGAAGCCACTAGCACGTAAGGGGTTATAGAGGATTTGGAGCGGGAGCAAGTAGGAATGATAGAGGAAAGGATGAAGAGAAGGATAGTGGATAGACCAAGGCAACTGGAGATGCTGATTGACATTACATTTGAATAGTTGGAGATTAAAGCTATCAGGGAAACAGGAAAAGGGAAGGGAGTTCCACAGGCGAAAGGTGCGAGACATGAAGCTATTGGCATAGAAGTTGTCCATATTATTTAATCAAACATGTTTGAGAGAATTATTGCTGCCAAAAATACATATATATATATATATATATATATATATATATATATATATATATATATATATATATATGGATAGATAGATAGATACATAGATGTATATGTCCAGAATAAGATATACAGGGAGATATGCCCGGTGATACATATGACCAGACAGATAGGTAGATACATATACATACATACATACATACATACATAGCTTTATCGTGTTGCAACTGGTTCTCATCCAGTCACAGAGGTTGAGCCTGGTCACTATTCAGATGTGTAGATTATAACAGGGACTCATAGTTTGCAAGACTGATCAGGAGTTGGGTGATTCAGGGAAATAGATAGATAGATAGATAGATAGATAGATAGATAGATATGAACAGACTAATATAGATTGATAGATGGATAGATACAGACTAAGATAGATAGATAGATAGATAGATAGATAGATAGATAGATAGTCACATTATGTCTTAAAATAGATATGCACAGACTAATATAGATTGACAGATAGATGAATAGATACCAAGATAGATTGATACAAACAGAATAAGATAGATAGATAGATAGATAGATAGATAGATAGATAGATAGATAGATAGATAGACCAGACCAGACACAGAGAGATAAAATGGAATAGGAAGATATAGATAAATAAATATGAACAGGCTAAGATAGATTGACAGATAGATGAATAGATACAGGCTAAAGATAGATAGATATGAACAGACTGAGATAGATAGATAGATAGATAGATAGATAGATAGATATACACAGATTGAGATAGATAGATAGATAGATAGATAGATATACACAGATTGAGATAGATAGATAGATAGATAGATAGATAGATAGATAGATAGATAGATATACACAGATTGAGATAGATAGATAGATAGATAGATAGATAGATAGATAGATAGATAGATAGATAGATAGATAGATATGAACAGAATAAGATATATAGGGAAATATGATCAGTGATACATATGACCAAATAGATCATTTCCACTCTCAGTTGATTGTAAAGTTATAAATCTGACTGACAGAAAAGGAAGTTTGTGAAGTCTTTTACAGATCTACAGAACCCTGCCAGCCATTAGGCACTCTTTGTAGACTTTACACTGACAATTGCTAGCAGCTGAGAGCAGTTCTTCATTAAGAAACTGGGTCTTGTTTCTTAAGTTAACAAATAATTGCCACAGTCTGATTAGACCTGTGATCTTGCCAAGGTGCCATGTCCAACATTAGGAGCAGATGCCTCCTCTGCTCCTGCTACCATCCAAACCACTCATTCTGGAGAGTGATGATGATCATTAAACAGTAATGGTGCTAGTGGTGACAGTGTGAGAAACAATTGGATTTGCTGAGGAACTCTCTACCAGAAGGAGATAGCTGGTAATGGCTGTTCAATTTAATCTAATTATCTTAATTTATCACAGCATTTTGGAAATAAGCTTGGCCGACGATCGGCTCAAGATGGCCCCCCTAGAGATTTGCAGATGTCTGTGGGACCGCTCCTTGTCTTGCCCCATTCCACAGTAAAATTTGGCCACACAAAAATGGCTTTGATGTTTCCAAATTTGCTTTTAAAGCCTAGCCATTGTTCGCCATGTCTTTGCCCTAAACCACACATTCACTCTCGTCTTTCATTGCTTTAAACTGAATGGAAACAACAGATTTATGAGACTTCCAAACTTGTATAAGCATAAAATTGAGAGAGCAGCATTCTTTTTCAGCTCAACATTTATCGTCTCGTACTTTGCAACAATATTTCCTAGCCACCTTTCACCCTGTCTAATGTTGTTTGGCATCGTCTCTCAGTGGCGCAGTAAAATTGTAATGTCAATAATTCAGTAGAAAAAACTTCTCCCCGAGTAGTATTAAAAATTTGGTTTTCTCAGATAATTTGCATTGGATAACATTCTAACTTTCGTTTATGGAATGTGTTTTATTCAGCAGGAAATGGTTCCATCTGGGAAATAAATGTACCTGGAATAAATAAATGAAGGGTTAGAATGGGTGTTTTATTGCTGAGTGATAGAGAAAAAAATATATAGAGGATATCTCAAGACAGTTAAATTCTGAATGGGTTCAAATGTATAGTGCAGAGGAGAGGTTTGTTTGCAACTTGGAGAAACGTTGCGATTGAAATTTATGCAAACAACTTTTATGAAGAAAAAAACAAGATAAAATTTCAATAAATTATTATTATTATTATTATTATTATTATTATTTAAATGTTCACTACATTTACCTGGTGGTTATCAATAGGAATTAACTAAGAACAAGCCTTCTCAGTATTCCAGGACTTTCCTCAGTATTCATACTGAAAGTTTTAGGAAAATTGTTTGGACTAAAATTTGTGCAAACAACTATAAAAAAAGCAAGTTAAAATAATTTTACAAATTATAATTATCTTCTGATCTCTGCTGTATACCCATTTACTTCTGGGCCCCAACCAAAGATCTAATGTCAGAAATGGCATCATGACATTTTTCACTGAACATCTTTGTATGAAATAATAAAATAAAAATTTAAAATAAAACAACCTAAGTTCACACACATTTCACATTGATAAATTCCTTTGTAAAGTGTGAGCTATTCTTTTTGTATTTCTTTATGGTATGGGCTACCAGGGATGCCTTCAATGAGTCTATCAGAATCATTCCCACTGAACTAGAACTAGAATTATTGATGTCTTCATGTGCCACATTTTTGGAGATTTTCACTTCAAGATCCTTGTATTTTGATAGTTTTCTGAAGATCTCCAAAGATAGATTACAGTCTGCATATTATCATTATGATTATTATTATTCATTTTCTCTTAGATGAATCAACCATTTTATTAATTTTATTAGTATAAGTAATACTAATACATAAGTAATGTAGTGAGTTCCAATAAAAAAAGTATATAAACAAAACATAAAAAGATTTCAAATTAAAATAAGGCATTTTTACTTTCCTTTTTTGGGGGTTATGTTAGACATTCACTTGTTCTAACTTTTGTTAAGTCAATGAATGCTCATTATCACTTCTAAAATGTTCATTGTAGATGAGATTTTGTAAATGCAGATACTGGTAGTAGTAATGCCTTTAAATAATACTTGCACTAATAATACTTGTTCAAATAGTAATCACCAAATAGTAATTCATATAATGATCAGTATAGAGAAATAGTATTAGTGGATAGTATAGAGAATAGTGATCACTTAGACGTCACACTAATTCCCATTTATACATTTCCTTTATTTCTATTTATTTAATAATGGAATCATCTGTGTTTGCTCACTGGTGATCTGTGTTAAAACTACGGTGTCAGCATTATTTACATTATTCGGACAATTGTCTTCATCTTTGTTGCCATATTTATTACAACATTTTGGCTGTTGTATGCTCCAGCATTCTTCAGGTGGTTGGAATGTTAAACTGAACCCTTTATTTCGCTCACTGGGGTAGACTGTTCTAGTTCCATATGCCATGTTTAATGGATGTCAGTTGTCACTTATGTCCTGTTAATTCCCCTCTCCAAGTACTCCACTGCTATAACCGGGTATTGAACTCACACTCTTTGGGTGTCCTTCAGATGTTCTTAGTTGATCTTGATTCATTGCATACCCTTCTGAGCTTGAAATGAGTCCACTTGTCAATGTCTGGCATAGGTGTTAGCCAGTGCTCGAGTACTTCAAGGTGTCTCTGTTCTTAGTTGATCTTGATTCATTTCATACTCTTCTGAGCTTGAAATGAGTCCACTTGTCAATATCTGGCATAGGTGTTAGCCAGTGCTCTAGTACTTCAAGGTGTCTCTGTTCTTAGTTGATCTTGATTCATTTCATACCCTTCTGAGCTTGAAATGAGACCACTTGTCAATATCTGGCATAGGTGTTAGCCAGTGCTTGAGTACTTCAAGGTGTCTCTGTTCTTAGTTGATCTTGATTTATTTTATATCCTTCTGAGCTTGAAATGAGTCCACATGTCAATATCTGGCATAGGTGTTAGCCAGTGCTCGAGTACATCAAGGTATCTCTGTTCTTAGTTGATCTTGATTCATTTCATACCCTTCTGAGCTTGAAATGAGTCCACTTGTCAATATCTGGCATAGGTGTTAGCCAGTGCTCGAGTACTTCAAGGTGTCTCTGTTCTTAGTTGATCTTGATTCATTTCATACCCTTCTGAGCTTGAAATGAGTCCACTTGTTAATATCTGGCATAGGTGTTAGCCAGTGTTTGAGTACTTCAAGGTGTCTCAGTTTCTTAGTCTCCCTGAAGCAGTCAATTTGGCTGGGTGCATTTTTTTGCTTCTACACTCTTGTTTTTTTTCACAAATTACACCCTAAATGTCTAATTCAGAGGAAGAGTTTGAACAGGGCAATAAAATTATATAAGAAAAATTTAAAAAAATATGATAAATAATATGTTTTATGAGGAGAATATAATTTGAACCATAAATATGGAAAAAAATTGAAATATGTTATTTTTCATAATCAGCATAAAAAATATATTAAAAACAAGTAAAAAGTTCATTTGAAAAAGAAACATTTTTCACAAAGTAATTGGAGGACATTTCATTAGAAACACAGAAAAGAGGGCTGAATTCCAATGTAATGTGAATCCTGCTATGTGGTAGTGAATACTGGACAATTTCTTCATATATAAAGAGGAAACTTGAAGCAATGGAGACATGGTTCTAAAGATGGATGCTGGACAATTTCTTCACATATGAAGAGGAAACTTGAGGGAAGGGAGGCATGGTACTAAAGATGGATGCTGGGAATAACATGAATGGAGCATGTGAGCAGAGAGGAAGTTTTAAGGTTAATGGAAACAAAAGGACACTTCTATGTAGGTACAAAAAAAGACTGTTGAAATATCTGGGCTTCAAAATGAGAAAAGAGGGCTTGGAGAATTTGGCACTTACAGAACATAGAACATGTTGGTCTTTTTATTCTTTTTTTTTTGCCTTATACTCTAACCTTCCTTTCTTTTTTTCATCCTTTCTTTCTTTCTTTCTTTCTTTCTTTCTTTTGCTTTACACTCTAACCCCCTAACCTTCCTTTCTTTATTTCATCCTTTCTTTTTTGCTTTATACGATAGCTTTTGCAGCTTTGTTTTTTTTATTTCATTTTCATTTTTCTTTGCCTTGAACTCTCTCCTTTCTTTCTCTCTCTCTCTTTCTGTTATTCTGTCTTTCTTTTTTGTTTTACACTGTAGCCTTTATTTAATTTTTTTTCTTCTTTGCCTTGAACTCTATCCTTTCTTTCTTTCTTTCTTTCTTTCTTTCTTTTCTTTTTTTCTTTTCTTCTTTCTCTCTTTCTTTATCCCTTTCTTTCTGCCATAGCCTTTCTGGTCTTGTTTCTTTGTTTACTTCATTTTTTTTCTTGGATTCTTCATTGATTTAGATGGCAAAAATAAGAACTGGGATATATAGTAAGTGGACAAAAATTGGTAAGATCTACAAAGAAAAAGAAGTCATGGAGAACTATGTCCTGAAAGAAACAGCATATAAAAGAAGCCGGAAGCACTTTAGAACTTCTCGTTGGTATATCTGAATTGCCAGCATTGCTATTCATGTACTATTATTAAGTAAAACTTATGACTTGTTTATGTCTGGGTTTGATTACAGGTAATTAAAACTATAGAAAATAAAAAGACAGATAAAGAAAGACCACCGCAATAGCTTCAGATAAGGAATAGACAAGTGGCTTTTCATATTAGGACATTTCAAGATGTAAGAAAACTTAGGGTAACTATAAAAGAATCTCTGTATCTTTTGAAATAATAGAAAAAAAAAATCTGTTTTTTGCATTATTGTTCATTATTCTTCTTGCTTACCAAATATGTGTGAGAGAAATCTAAACTTCCAGGAAAAAATAATTTATCTTTTTCTTTTCATGAAAGTAGATTTCATAGCCATTGTAAGTATAACAATCAATTGCAATCACTTTATCAAAAGTGTAATGAAGATTTTTTTTTAATTATATATTTTATTTTATTGTATTTTTTTTAT